GGGGGGGGGAGAAACTTTCTTTGGGGAATGTAATAGCAAATTATAAAAAAAAATCTTACACATAGGAAAGATATTGCTGTTATCTACTCTAATGTAAGCACAGATTCATAGTCATGCCTCATTTGCAAGTCAGTACAGTAATCAAATTGAAAAAGTCATCCCACATGTGCTATTAATTTATTGTCCCACTGTGACAGTCTTTCATAAGACCCTAAATGGGCCAATGGGCCTGGGGAACCCAGAGTGGGATGCAGCCCATCAAGGGGCTTATTTGATTAAGTGTTGTCCCCAAGGCAATGGGGGTAATTATTTTTTATTGTTTTATATTAGGTTTTTAATCTTTGTAGGCTGCCTGGATTCACTGAGACTGAGTTGGGCAGGGTCTTCAAACTTGGCCCTTTTATGACTTGTGGACTTCAACTCCCAGAATTCCTCAGCCAGCGTGCCTGGCTGAGGAATTCTAGGAGTTGAACTCCACAAGTCATAAAAGGGCCAAGTTTGAAGACCCCTGGAGTTGGGTAACCATATATATTTTCTTAAATAAATAAACATTACCTTCATTTCTTTCCATTTCCTTTTTTTTTTGCTTTAATTAAAACATCTTTATAACAACTTCATATGTATTGATTGTACATAATGATTTCCTATATAAATCTAATCTTTTCCAAACTTTTGACTTTTTTCTTTTTATTGTAGCCCTTTTAATATTTTCATTTTTAAATATGACTATTTCTCTTTTATTCTACTTTTCTTTAACCAAATGGTATATAAATTATGATCATCTGTACCTTGTGGATTATAAAAGCTGATCACAAATAATATTTGTATATTGTAGATTATAAAATCATCTTATCAAATCTTCTAATATCATACAGATTTGAAGATCTGGATAAAAAGTCTAACAATGAAATAGATGTACTTAAACCAAGACATGGGAGAACTCAGTCCTCTGTTAAAATCTCCTTCTACAATGACTTAATTAAAGAAACTAGACTCTTGATTTAAAAAGCAATTTGCTTGAAGAATGATCAGCACAAAGGAAGCTAATCAAAGTTAACATTCCTTCTGCAAATATAATATATATTTCAATAGAATAATCAACAATTTATTATACTGCAATAAATTAGAACCCCATGTACATATCTCTGTTGTTTTAAAACTGAGCACAAGAATAATCTATACCACACAGAAATATAGGGGATTGTTTTCAAATATTGCTCCTGTAGCATAATTAAACCTACCAAATCTTTTTAAGTATCTTTCATGAATGCTACTAATTTGATAATTGATATTCAGTTTTATGCCACTGAATATATTTATTATTTTACAAAACCATTGGAAAATAATGTCACTGATGTTAATCTGAATTCAAAATTCGATAAATACAAGCTAATTTTTAAACGTTGCCGTACAACAGAGGTCATCAAACTTGGCCCTTTTATGACTTATGGACTTCAACTCCCAGAATTCCTCAGCCAGCCATGCTGGCTGAGGAATTCTGGGAGTTGAAGTCCACAAGTCATAAAAGGGCCAAGTTTAAAGACTCCTGCCGTACAATATGTGAGGATTCATTTAATCTCTGTGTGGAATTTCAATAATGTTTTTGAAATTCATACAGTTCACCTGCTTTTTTCAGAAACTGGGCATTTCTTTGAATGACATTTGTGTTATTTATAGCTCTTTCTTGGTCATTTTCCTCTTACCATTCATAAGACCTTTGATCATGTATGCTTACATACTATTTTATTTACAACCACTCAGAAAATCTACACCAGGGGTCTTCAAACTTGGCCCTTTTATGGAGTGCTGGCTGAGGAATTCTGGGTGTTGAAGTCCATAAGTCATAAAAGGGCCAGGTCTGAAGACTCCTGATCTATACCGTGTGGTTTTCTGCCACTCCACCACACCTGCAGCAATTTGGGACAAGTACATGGATCATCTATCATTGGGTTGAGATTTAGTAAGCTCTTTCATCTTGATTTGGAGGAAGCTGAATGGAGTTTTGTTCATTTATGACTTAAACTGGCTTAGATGTGATCCAGCATTGGCTGATATCTTTTGAAAGCTAAGGATGCCCCAAGAGATGTTCAAAAATATACCTAATCCCATAATAGAATTGCTAGGAGTATTAGAATAAAGCTTCATATTAAATACATTGTGAGTACATTGCAATTTCATTTAAATATATTTCAATGGATTGAAATATGAACAGGCACATACTCCTCTGATGCCTCAAATATTTTAACTAGTAACTCTTGTTTTAACACAAACTAGTAATCTGTAGGTTTAGATATTAATCTCCTTAAGTCACTGTTATTTCTCATATTATTAATGTTAGTACTCTCTAGATATTGTACTAGATAAACTGCATTTCAAAGAATAGAAAGAAGAAAAAGGAACACCTGTATTTATATCTACATATATCAGAATGGATAGATTATTTGAAACAGTATTTCAGCAGTTTAAGCTCCAATAAAGGAAAGAACAGTTTCTATCCTCAAGCAGAATGCTTTGTTCCCAGCTCCAGGAAGAAGACATATAGTTCTCAGATCTAATCAGAGCATCCTGTTCTTAGTTAATCTCATCTAAGCAATCAGTTGTAGAACTTAGAGCTTTAGCAATCAGTTGCGCAATTAACTGCTCTGAGCAATCAATTGCAGGTGTCCTGTTAAACTTCTAATTAGCATAATGTTCAAGCTTAAACTATAGCAGAAATCTATGCTAGACTTAAATATAGGAGGCACTGTTGACTACATTCTTACATTCCGGCTTACTCTTAGTTTTATTTTTATTATCAAATAATGTAAGGATGGGCTATTTAACGTCTCACACAAATTATTAGATGAATTATTTTTCTTTTCACACAAACTTGTTTGTTCAGTTCTTATACAGGTAGTCCTTGTATAGTGATCACAATTGGGACTAGCAACTTGGTCATTAAGCAAAGGGCTCACTAAGAGAAACTGTGACTGCTTGTGATCTCACTTCAGCTTTCCTTTGTTTTAAAGACCTGCACAGTCCTAACTGCAAATGGTCATTAAACAAGGCAGTTGCTAAACAAGGACTACTTGTACAACAGTTCTACCTCCTTGGAGAATTAGCTTTTGTGGGAAAATATAGCAGTGCTCAAAATAATCCAATTTCTGTTCAGGACAGAATGTAAATGTATCTGTATTCTAACTAGATATCCCACACTTTTGATTATTTCTAATTCAAGCACATATGGATAGGACCTACCATGAATATGGGATATATCCTTAATTTTGTTAAACTCAATACTTGGAGACCACTCCCTTATTGTAGAGATGGAGAGAGCCTACTAATGGAAAGCAAAGCATTCCATGTGGATGAAATGTTGGTTGACCGAGGCCAAAAGAATTGAGAATTTGAGAAGAGAATGAATGAATGAATGAATGAATGAATGAATGAATGAATGAATCTCGAAAAAACTGTCTGAAAAAAGCACCTTAAAAAAGAGAAGGGGTAACGATAGACACAGATTATATAGATGGGTCATTTTTAGATTTATGTTAAGGAGCTACTTTTACACTGCCTTCAGTGATAATTTGAGATTTTAATGCAGCAGGAAATCAGAAAATGTTGTGCAATAGGGAAATATGTCCATCATATAATCCCTAAATTTCCTCTGAGTGCAATCTTAAAATGGACTAACCCCAAAATCAAAAATAACTTATGTTTTTAAAAAAAATCTATAAACACAATTCATATCTTCTTCTATTTTGAACTCCAGCATGTATTCTGTTGATTCTCAAGAAGCTAACCAGAAAAGTTGGTCTTTCAGTGAGATTCTCTGTACTTCTAGACAGACATTTGTGTTTCCTTCATAACAGTGTCAGGAAATGGGCAGAGAGAAAGAATTACTTTTTAAAAAAAACACCATATTTTTCCTAGCTGAAAAATAAGTTCTGATTGCCTAATAATAAAAGTTGTAAATTTATAAAGCCCGTGGTGTACATGAATGTGTGCACATGCATACAAACGTAATTCCATGCAGGGCACTTGCTATTCTTGGGTGTTTGCATATAATACATGCTTGATTTCAAATACATGGTTTAAGACATTAGAATGGTAAGTAATTGCAAAACATAATGTTTCTGAAATGTAGAAGGACAATTATTCCACTACACGTATCATTTAGGATTCCACTGTAAAAAAAACAAAAAACAAGAAATTGCCTTATAGTGTTTATATCACAACCTTGGAAAGTGTGGAGAGAAGAGCAAAAAAGATGACAAAGGGTCTGGAGATTAACTCGAATGATGAATGGTTGAGAGAGCTAGGTTTATCTAGCCCAGGGGTAGGCAACCTTGGCTTTTTTATGCTGGCTCAGGAATTCTGGGAGTTGAAGTCCACGAGTCATAAAAGAGCCAAGGTTGCCTACCCCTGGTCTAACCTATCAAAGAGAAGGATTAGGGGCAACATGATAACTGTTTTCCAGTATTTGAAGGGCTGTCACACACAAGAGGGGATTGACTTAGTCACCAAAGCACAAGAGGGCAGGACAAGAAGTAATGGATGGAAGCTTGTTAAAGAGAGATCCATCCTAGAAGTAAGGAGAAATTTTCTGACCATGAGAACAATTAATCAATAGAATAGCTTGCTTCATGGAATTGTGGATGCTCTATTACTAGAGGTTTTCAAAAATAGACTGCATATCTATTTGACCAGGATGGTATAAGGTCTCCTGCCTTGAACAGGGGGTTGGACTGGAAGACTTCCAAAATCCCTTCCAGCTCTATGATTCTATGATAACAAGTATTATTTTTTCTATACTATTTTAAAACACAGAAAAGGAACAATTTGTGAAATTGCCAATCTTGTCTTCATATACTGTATATTTATCAGTCTAGCAGACCAAAAAGATTAATCGATTCATGAACCTGCTGCAACTGAATGAGTCAACCAAAACTTTAGAGTTTTCCTAATTCTCATAAATTGTTCTTTTTACTGAATAAATCCTGCCTTTCCATTTCTTTTAGGCTTTGTGGACTTAACACTCCATGATCAAGTCCATCTATTAGAATGTGCCTGGTTAGAGATATTGATGATTGGCCTGGTATGGAGATCTGTGGAGCATCCAGGAAAGCTGCTTTTTGCCCCCAACTTATTGTTGGACAGGTTAGTCTATAATGTGGTAATGTTACTACTGCTGTTTTAAATGCCATGCTATGCAATATAATTGCAGTCATTTTGACCTTCTATCTATTGTGCCACTGATGAGATCCTATAGCCAAAATGAGAGAAGGGTTACTGCAGTAAAAAAAAAAAAACACTTGCTAAAACATGTAATCCATACATTTACATGACAAAGATTTGAGTTAACTTTACTGTGTATGCTAACATAGCTATCATTTTTATATAATTGGGACATTTGTGACCCAGTTCATTTTGATCCATCATGGACTTCAAGCTGGCATGCAGAGGAAGGATCAAGCTGGCACTGGCAGATCCCATACCTGTTTAGCTTCAGCAAGATGGCAGCCTCTTGTGTTTTCCAACCAATTCACTATCATAGTGACCAGGTGATAAACTGCTGTATATATCTGTTTATCTTCTGGTGTGTATATGTGTGTCTCTCTGTGAGTGTGTGTTATATACACACACATACACACATATTTTGACATCATTTCCTCAGCAGTGCTAGAGAGGAGAAATTAAAAAAAAAACTTCTATCCACACCTATTGTACCCCTACGGGGATTTGAAGGTTGAAATAAGTATGTGTAACTAGTTTACCAATATGCTATTGTATAGCCATGTAGAAAATATGTTGTATCATATCACTGTAAGTAGACTTTCCAGTTCATCCCAGATCTTTCCACAGCTCTGGCAAGAGCTCCAGCGTAACATATAACATAGCAATATTATGTGGGGTTGCATGTAAGATCAGAAATACGTTGGCTTCCTTAAAAAAAAAAACATTTCCCCCCTCAAGATTGGACTTTCCCCCTACAAGCCTCTTAAACTCCTTTGTAATAACTTTTTTTTTTGTTTCGAACAGTGAATCGCTTCTTACGTTTACACTTTTGTTTTGTGGCAGGGTTTTTAAATTCACTTTTTTATGAACTGATATTTTCTTGTTTTATGCATCACCTAGTATATTTTATATAAAGTAATTATATAATGGGTCTAGTTTTATTTTGAGTCTATGCATTTTATCTTTATTTTTATATGGTATAAAGTAATTTGATAGCCAAGGACTTCAATATGATACATAAAACATACTAATAATAAACATATTGTGATTCAAAACTATAAACATTCTAATTAAAATAATCAAGAAATGTGGTTCCCAAGTCTTGAAAACTAATATTGTTTAAAATGTTGTTTACAAGAAGAATCTACTGCAGAGTTCAAGAGCAGCTAAGTTCAAACCTCAGGGGGAAAAAAATTCCTCTTGGTAAGAGGTGTGCAATTCTGAGCAAAGATAGGATTTTTGACTTGGAAGTGCCAGCAACAATACATTATGTGTTACCTATTTTAAAGCCATTCTCTGTTTGTCTTTCCTGCATTCAAAAGCTTAGCAGCAAGAAAAAATATCTCCCATGTTTTTTTTCTTTTGACAATGTCTTTTTTTTCATTACTCCAAATTATCTAAATTATGAGTTAGCAGCCATTATTCTATTCTGTGGGGTTTTTTTTCTTGAAAAGTTCCAACTCAGAAATTATTATAAAAATTACTGCCTAATAGTCTTAATTTTCTCACCAAGCGTGTTATGTAAAACATAACATGATGGATTTATGTAAAAATATAAATGGTTTTATGTGGATGTCTAAAAGGAAAGTGCAAAAGGCCATTTGTCTGCCTGTCAGCTGTCTTTTTTATGAAAATAGGGGATTTATTCTTGAACTTGACTTGGCAATATTTGACATGTTTGAAAACACCGCCTGCTCTATCCCAGCAGGCTTGGTGAAAGGAATTCTTCGCCTCTGAACAATCATTCGCAAGGGTATTTATATTAGAAAAGTTACAGCATAAACTGTTTATTGCTCTGAGATTTTGAAAGTTTTTCTTCTGTGAGACCTGCTGAGCCTTTATTTCATGTATGTACCTATGTATGTATGTGTAATCCTCGACTTACAATAATTCGTTTGGTGATCATTCAAAGTTACAACAGCACTGAAAAAAGTGACATGATCGTTTTTCACACTTAAAACCATTACAGTATCCCCACGGTCATGTGATCAAAATTCAGACACCTGGCAACTGACTCATATTTATGACAGTTGCAGTGTTCTGCGGTCATGTGATTACCTTTTGTGACCTTCTAACAAGCAAAGTCAGTGGGGAAGCCAGATTCACTTAACAATCTGTTACTAATTTAACAACTGCACTCATTCACTTAACAACTGCGGCAAGAAAGTTTGTTAAATGGGGCAAAATTCATTTAATAAATGTCTCACTTAGTAACAGAAATTTTGGGCCCAATGTAGTTGTAAATTGAGGATTACTTTTGCATGCATGTATTCATTTGTTTAGAAAATATATAGGCTACCCATCTTACCTCAAGGTAACTCTTTTGAATGTGCCTTCCCCTGTCCCTTTCTTTATCTTTAAGAAAACTAGGAACGATCAAGTCTGAGACATTTTCTCAAACTACATTTCTGTTTTGGATTCAAATTTTTTTTATCTGACCATTATCTTGATTTTGCGAGTCTTCCTTCTGTTCCTCAAGGCTATTCCTTCTGCTTATTATAGCTGCCATGATGTATATGGGTAAGAAGCCACTTCCCATTAAGGGCAAGACAGCAACCATATTGTGTAGATTCAAAGGAATGTAATTTTGAGTGAAAGAGCCTCTACAATCAGCTCTTCCTCAGAATTACCCCTTGATAAGATAGTCATTCGCCTGACATACCAAGATTATTCAAAGGTCTTTGATGGAATGGAATTTTATGATAATTTCAAAAGTATGCTGTGGCTTGTAAAAACTTATGCCTTAATAAATTTGCTAGTCTGTAACCAGATTGGCACTATGGATTTAATTTTAGTGGAGACTAAATTTGTGGAGAATGGAATGAATAGAAAGAACTTTTCATTTGGAATATCTAGGTCAATGTCTGAAGCGTATTTCTGGAGCAGCAAATCTGATTGAAATCAGAACAACTTACTTTTGTGCAAATAGAGCTATGACTGCATTGTTACTTAGCCAACAATATTTCATCCTTCTGGCTTTTGGATCACTACCTGATAATGGACTGAAATATATTTCTGAAATAATATTGTCTACTAGTGAAATAGTAGTTATAGGAAAGACAGTAAGGCAGGAGAGAGAACCAGAAATGTTTATTTTTTCAGAAAAATAATTAAACTTTGTCTAACTATTAACTGAGATGTTTTTTCTCTGTATGTATTGGCACCGAAAACAATATTTCTTTTCTTTTTTAAATGAAGACTATGTTTATATTGGGACTGCAGTTCTTAAGCACACTAAACAAGAAATAAGCAATATTGATTACAGTGATACTTATTTTTGAGTAAACATAATTGGGATATTACTGTATAGTCAGAGTTATATCCTATTGACTGTTTAATATGAAGAAAATATTGATTTTAAAAAACCTATAACTATTAATTTTCCATTTGCCCAAATTCTGACCAGTAATACCAATTCTTCAGGAATCAATGTGTAAGAAATCCACTTCTTATCTTGACTATGTTCCAAGTTGCCATTTCAGATTTTGAAGCTATGTTTTTGGGGACTATTTATAAAACATCACACAGTAAAAGGAAAACAGAGTGATATTGATGAGAACAACATGAGAAACACTTGCCAAATGCAGTATTTTTTAATGTTGTGGAAATGTTATGATGGACCATCCATCTCTTGTCATTAAAAGCCACATGCCTGTTTCATTTGTGAAGGAAATATTTTTGTCAGCAATAACCAGGCTTAGCTTTTAAACATGGAATAGCAACTTACAATCTTTATGGAAAGAAAAAGTGGAAGTTTTGATCAATGCCTCATAAAATTCTCAGATAAAATAAATTATCAATCCAACCTGCCACTTCTCTCTCAACATTTTTTGTTTTCTTTCATGTTTTGTTTGGAATAGTTGAAACTATTCCCTACCTTGCACGGTACCTTTAATTTGTGCCAAAATTGCTATATATTTAGCTGAAAATTGCTACCTTGATTTAAAACGGGGAGATTGCAGTGATTCATCCCATTAACATATATTATCCTTTCCCACCCTGGTGCCTTCTGGATGTGTGGGGATTACTTTTCCTAGAATTCCCAGTCAATCAGAATATTGGCCAGGATAGTTGGGAAATCTGGAAATTGTAGTCTCTGCACATATGGAATGTACCAATTTGGAGACAACTATCATGTCTGTTCAACATTATGTTGTGAAAATATTTATAGAAATACCATGTTAAGTCATGAAGAAAGCTGAAGGTTTCATAATGCTGTGTAGTTTATCAGTAATAATCTCCTACCTACCATTTTTCATCTAGTCAGGTGCATTGGTTTGTTCCTGTGTAAATGATCCTGCACTCTTAGAAAAGCACTACAATACTATGTAATTCTTATCCTACACACATTTATTAAGAGCCTTTGACTCATGGAGTTGGATGTGATCTTAGAAGTCAATTAGTCCCAATTGGTCAGTGCAAGATCCACCACAGAACATCACTGACAGATGATGATCCAGCTTCTGTTTGAAATCTTCCAGAGAAGGAGAACTTACCACCTCAAGTGGCAGTCTGGTCTACCAGGTGACTCATACAATCTGGATGGCTTTTTTTCATATTGGACCTGAACCAACCTTGTTGTAGTTTAAACCACCATACCTGGGGCAATAAAGATGTTCCCTCTTCTATATGACAATCCTTCAACTCCTCTCATATCATCCATTAGCTAACTTTTCTGTCAGTTAAACATATAAAAACTATTTTCCCCATTCCTGATAGAGCTAGATAACAAGGCCTTTATTATATTCATAGGCCTCCTCTGAATTGAGTGGGATTCGATTAGGAAAGAATAGGGTGGAACAATTCCTTCCCTGAGTCCCTGTCCCTGTGCTCTTGGTAATATTATTCAAGATGGCATTTGTCTTCTTAGCAACTGCATCATACGACTGGCTCATATTGAGCCTGCTAACCCAAACACCCAGATCTCTTTCACATGCACTATTTCAAAGCTTGATTTTTTTCCCCCCACCCTTTGCTTAGGGTTTTAATTTTTCATATCTAGAAAGCAGAATTTTATAGGTATATTTTTAAATGCCAGTGATCAAGACAGTCTAGATGCTTTTGAATCTTCTTTTCTTCTTCTAAGATATTAGCCACTTCTCCTAGCTGGGTGTCATCTGCAAACGTGATAAAAGCCCCAGGAATTCCCTTACCTAAACTATTGATAACATATTTATCTCTGTTATTTCTGAGCTTTTTAGCTTTGTAAGATGTCTGACTGGAACAACTCTGCTCATGTTATCATATGCCAATAAACTGCTGATTGCATAGTCTAATCACATTCTTATTTTTTTGCTCAAACATTTAGATTTTTATGAAGTCTGATCCATTTTTAAATCTACATGTTTTCATAAACATACTAATTTGTCATAGTCAAATCAAAAGACTTTGGACTTTCTGGAGAAGAATGAAAAGAGAATGAACTTATAGTTTTCAACAATTCCACTAGATTTAGGCAAAAGCTTAGAGAATTAGAAAGATAGAAAATGATTTTATAACTGCTCTGTTACTATATTTATCTAAAGCATTAAGAACCCGCCATGTTTGAGGCATGGATAAACTGATCTGCTATTTACACAGCATTTGAGGACACCAAAATTTTATATTATTTCACATCACTTTTCTTGGTGTTGTAAATCTATCCCTTTATGGTGCCTGTGTAAAAAGAGACTAATTGAAGTCTTTCAAGACTATATCCAGCTATGCACTACATACATATCTACAGGCCAAGTGAGGCATCTACAGGGCTGCATGTAACTCTAGCATCCATTTGCAATCTCCTACCACTCTAAAGCCATACTACTGACATTTGGTGGTAGAATGGACTCCTTTGAGAGGTGCAGATTCAGGCTGTTCTGAGGAAATTTGGCTGGTTTAAAGTGGGGATAGGAGATATTTGCCTCCAAGAGGCCTCCTGCTTTAAAATATCACCCCCGCCCCCAATTCCAACTCTAAAATAGAAACCTAAAAGAACACAGTTTTGGTAATTGAATTTCTTAATGAAAAGAAGAGAATGAATATGCTCTCCCATTTAACAATAGCTTGTTAGGAAAATGGAAAGAGAGGGAAAGAAGAGAGGTTTTATTTGAACCATTTAATCTGAGATTAGCTGTTTATATGAACTGCCAAAGAAATAAAACTATACCATACCAGTTCTTGTGGAAAGAAATCAACTGTCTCCCTTTCAGTCCATTGGATCACTTTCTACAACATCTCATGCTTCCCCTCCCTGTTCCCTGTTTAGTTTTTGAGATAATATTTGCCATTGCCATAGTGGCAGGAAGATGGAAATTGCTGCTGTCACTATTGGATTTGGAACTTGGCATTTTATTTGCTGAAAAAGAACTCTTTTTGCAGAAAAAAGTCTGCAAGTTTACAGTTTTTTCTCCTGGGCTTTCTATTGTTTTTGCAAATAATTATCACTGCTTAAACGTCTTTATTTAAATTCTATTTGCCACTCTTGTGGCAAACGTTTTGAAGCAAGGCAAAATACCTTTAAAAGGAGAACCTCATTATCATGATGGGTGGGCAGCATCTCACTGAACCCATTCCAAATAGTTTCCACATAGGCCAAAAAGCCTATTTGAAAGCCCAGTGAAGTCAACCTTTTTTCTTTTGCAGAGTTTGAAATCTTGAATTTGGTGGTAGTCTGGCTTCCCAGTTGATGAGAGCTCTTGTCACTTAGCTCCAGAACCGAAGGCATCAATTACTCTCTTCCTTTTGGGACCAGAGTCACAGGGGAGGGGGAAAAAAACAAACAAAACCCAACTGGAACAGTAACTCTCCTTTTGCAACTGGCTGATCCTCTTCTGAAAAGTAGAGGAAATAGAACAAATTATTGTCAACATCATACCTGAAATTGATACATCTAGGCTTGCCTGCATTTAGGAAGAGCTGCAAGAATCTGAAAGCAGTGAACAGCCACCTAAATTAACCCAATCTCCGATTCAACAGCAACAAACAGCTAGGAGTGGCAGTATAATAATAATAAAAAATCATCTGGTTGCAAAATTGCTGAGATGCATCTTTTTACCATCCTTTCAGGGGATAGGCAAGGGAGAGCACTGATTAAATGCTTGCAGGGTCCCCCCCCCCTCATTCTCCTGTCAACCAACTAAAGGAATGACGTTATTCCTTGTTCTCAAGCACCCAAATTGGCAAAAGTGAATCTATTCTGGGATCAGACTCACATTGCTTTTGGGAGACTGGGGAGTGAAAACCCTAACCCAATTCCCTGGTTACTGGATCATACAGACACAACACAATCTCTGTTCTTCGGATCATATTTTGCAGGATGACCACTTACCAGAATAAGCTCTAGTTGAAAGACTCCACAGAAATGATGCCACTCCCTGAGCAGCAGAAACACCTTCCAAAGGGATTGATTTACTTTAAGGATTGTTTTCAGTCTTTTAAAAAAAATGTACTTCTCTCAGGAACATTAAGATATTGGCTGACTATATACTTGAATATTTGCTCAGAAGTCTAAGCAGCAGTCGTAAATAATTGCTGTTAATCATCCCCATTTTTTGGGAAAGAAACTATTTGTAAAACATCTCTAGCCACACACATAAAATATGTCCATTTACTTTTGTATAAGAACATGTATTCAGCCACTTGGATGAAATGTTGGCCTTTGAATGTATGATGTGATTTACCACCTCACAGTAGGTATTGTGTTAAGACTTCACCAAACAGGCCTCCTTAGAAATTTTTGAACCAAGATTTGGAAGCAATGCAAAAGAGAAAAGCTAAGTAATATAGCACATGTGGCTGAAGCTCTTTCTAACCAATCTTCTATAGCAATCCATAAAAAAATATTTTTTAAAAAATGCATTTTTGAGAATTAAAAATCACGTGGCTTTATCTCAGCTACATGATCAGGATTAATGTTGAAAGCCTTTGCAATGACTGCAAATTTCCAGCCTGTTCTTGTAGACGGGATAGTTGGACGAAAAAGTGTCCGATGGGTTCTATACCAGTTAAACGGTGGGCTATTTATGTGTAGAATAGGAAGAATGTGTAATAAGTCAAACATTAAATGGGTATTATTTGCATAGATGCTAGCTGTAGTTATTCAGTTTTTGGAATTTTGAAATGAAAATGGAATTTTCTCAAATACGTGTATTTGGTTTACAGTATTGGAGGTGAGAGAATTTTAAAATGGGTGATTCCATTTATGAATTGCATGTTTATGTACACCATTCTGTTATGTTCCATAATCTAGTATTTACTTATCCAACATACATATCCAAAATCAAATGTCAGCATGGGGATGGTTAAGAATGAACTGGAGGTAGGGGCGACTGAGGAATTCTGGGAGATGAAGTTCACAAGTCTTAAAGTGGCCATGTTTGGAGTCTCCTCCCCTGGACAAATGGCACATGAATATGTCAGCTCTCTTTGTTGAACACACACACACACACACACACACACACACACACACACACACACCACTTAGATTCTTCTTTGTTCTTGCAGGAATCAAGGAAAGTGCGTTGAAGGCATGGTAGAAATATTTGACATGCTGCTGGCTACTTCTTCTCGCTTTCGAATGATGAACGTCCAGGGGGAAGAATTTGTATGCCTTAAATCTATCATCCTACTCAATTCTGGTAAGTGAGACATGTGTCTTTAAAGTTACGACTTAGCCTAATGGATGACTTATTACAGGAGAAGGATAGAAGAATATAATTATTTTTTTCTTGGAGATCTCAGGGGCTTCAGATATCACCAACCATTGTGTCCTTCCTGGCATTATTAAGTGGGACTATATTATATAGGCCATTCTTATTTGGAAGATTGATTCCAGAAGATGATTCTGGGGCGGTTAGTCCTTTGATCCCTGGCATTCTGCTGTGGTCCTGTCAAGCTTCTGTTCTATGTCTCTGACCTTTTATCGTTGATATGATATATAGATAGTCCTCGACTTACCACCACAACTGAGCACAAAATTTCTGTTGCTAAGCGAGATAGTTGTTAAGTGAATTTTGTCCCATTTTATGACCTTTCTTGCCACAGTTCTTAAGTGAATCACTGCAGTTGCTAAGTTAGTAACAAAGTTGTTAAGTGAATCTGGCTTCCCCATTGACTTTGCTTGTCGGGAGGTCAGAAAAGGCAATCACGTGACCCTGGGACACTGCAACTGTCATAAGTATGAGCCAGTTGCCAAGCATCCAAATTTTGATCATATTGATCATGGGGATGCTGCAATGATCATAAGTGTGAAAATGGCCATAGGTCACTTTTTTCAGTGCCATTGTAACTTCAATCACTAAATGAATGGTTTAGGTCAAGGACTACCTGTCTATGCCTGAGGAGATTACCTGAGGTGTGAAAGAGCATAGGAATTTTTAAAATGTTGGTCTTATTTGTGGTTTGCCTTTGACATAGTATTATGGACAGTAGCTACTGTAGTTCAGGTGTTCAAGACGGAAAGTTTTATATTCTCTCCTCTTCCTCACTGCCATCCATGCTCCATGAAAAACACTGCATGTACATCTCTGGGCTGTTCTGAACAAAATAAGAAATTCCATAGAGACAATTGCAGGAAGAAAAGAAGACAAGATTTGTCTTCTGTGTAGTTCTTTAATCATTGTTAGTACAGTGACTTGTCTTTAGAGCTAAGACAATGTTTTGGAAAACAATCTTATCTAGAGCAGGGGGGCCAACTCGTGGGGCGGATGCGTCATGCCGAAACCATGCCCACCCCATTGTCAGCAATGGAAAAAAGTTGCAATACGTCACGACACATCACATGACATTGTGAGTTTGACACCCCTGTCCTAGAATAACAATACCTCAAAATACATTCTGTATAGCAGGGGTCCCCAACCCCTGGTCTGTGGACCGGCACCAGACCGCGACATGCCAGAAACCAGGCTGCACAAATAAGCAAAGCCCATCTGTGAATGCAGGCAGCATATGAAACCATGCTCCCTCCGATGTGTGGAAAAACATCTATCCACAGAATCAGTCCCTGGTGCCAAAAAATTTGGGGACCATTGCTATATAGTGCATTCTTGAGGTGGCACGGTGGCTAGCAGTTAAGATGCTGGGCTTGTCAGCTGGAAAGCCAGCAGCTCAGGTTCAAGAACTGAGTGCCATACAATGGGGTGAACTCCTGTCCCAGCCCTAGCTCCTGCCAACCTAGAAGTTTGAAAGCATGCAAATGCGAGTAGATAAATAGATACCACTTTGATGGGAAGGTAACAACATTCTGTGATGTCATGCTGGCCATGTGATCACCCCCTATATTTGGTAACTACTAGGAGAATAAAATCTACAGGGACTCCCATAGTGCATTCTTATCTCCAAATCCTTCTTATTAGGGTAGTAACTGGCCCTTGTTATTTACAACTAACAATTTGTTGTTATGTGCTTATGGGGTAGCATGTTATTCATTTTTGTTGAGTGTCATTTTATTCTCATTAGCCTACTCTCTGTGGATTGAAGCTGCTGTAGTCAAAGTAACCAACAACAAAAGTTATTGTGGCATCAGTATTCTGAACAGATTATTCAGAAAGCGCTTCTGTTTGCAGAAAGCAAAACAAAACCAAACCACTATTAATATATACAAAATAGGATAGCAACACTAGTTTTAAATAAAGATGCAAGATAGAGCACTGTGAATCATATTTTATTTTAGAAACTGCTCGAAGAGGAAGACTTGTTAGAAGACGACAGCATTCACAGCAGTTGTTGTGATTCAGTAAATCAAGAGCAAGAGGCAGAAAATGAACTTTGAATGGGTATCTCTGACTAAGGCAATCAAAACAACATAGTACCACTACAGTTAAATTATCTTAGAACCAGGCTACATATTATATTATTAATGTAGACTCATAAAGAAAAGGCAGGATTAAATCCAACATACAATTATCATATATAATGCATAATATATTCTGCTTTCTACTGAGGAACAATCCCAAAGTGAACACACATTATTTCCAGTTAAAATAGATTACAGTTAAAAGCAATTTACAATTTATAAAAAATATAGTAAAACCTGCTAATATAATTTAGTTAGAATCATACATTACTGTATCTTAAATGTCCATAACGCAATCCCCCACAGTCCCAAGTGAAATAACTCTACAGATCTATACACTTAATGTCTTCTGAAGATCAATACAATTCACCACCTATGTATTTTGACTTGCCGGTCCTGTCCAACTAAAAATTGGGGGAAGTGAGAGGGAAGAGATCTGGCAAACGTGCTGATGGGGTACATGTTAAAATGGGTTAAATGTGGTGGACCCCAAACTGTATATGGCAAATTTTTAACATATCCTCTGCAAATCAAGACACCACAGATGGAATTTCTCCAGATATTAAGACAACAGCTTGCTTCTTGATATAAGGGCATAATCAAGATGTCATTTTGGTAACAAATATGATCTTGATTACTGTGCATAAATATTGCTCATTTAATTACATAAAGTTCTTTTTCATAAAAATAAAAAAATAAAAATAAAAAGTCATATTAAATTTATTTGTAGGCCATCTCATTTTAAAGCGACTGTGCAACATAACATTGGACTTTTCTGAGTGCCATAGCTTATAGCCATATCATGCAAGTGTCTCAGCCCAAAATAATTTGATTTTCTTTAGAAGTCTTACAGCTATTGTATTTTGCACTAGAGTTAGATCTCCAGTAGGATGTTATTTGCAGTTGATTATCATGTGTCTGCATAAGTAACTTTCTTTAGAATGGAGCTTTTGAAACCAGGAAATAAGGTCAGAAAATTAAATTGAAGACCCAATTTTATGTATATTTCAAATTGTTTGCTTTAGAGAAGAAGAGAAATAAAAAGGAACATGCATATACTCAGGTGATGGCACTAAGAATTTGACTTCTAGTCTGCTTCCTCCTTTATTGTGAAAGAGACTTACTGACAACTTTTATAGGAATTCTCTGGAATTAATGTGTTTCAGCTTGCAGTCCAAGCACCCAGCCACAAATTCTGAGCTATACAGCCAGAATACTGATGATCTGATAAAGGGGTGTGTAACCTGTGACAATGTAACTTTCTTATTTTGAGAGTGATCAATGTTTATATTAGGTTCTCTCCTTTCTTTCTCTTTTTTTTTTTTTGCTGTGACAAAAAAATGACATCTCTGAAAGAAGGCTTTGTTATCATAATGGCCATCATGACGCAGCAAACACATAATTAACTTAATCATGATTTATTCGCTTTGTTGAGCTATAGGCTGATCATTTGTGGTTCAATATATCCAACTGATAAACCTGTAAGTCACATGAGGATGTTATTTCATATGGAGCTCTTTTTTTAAAAAAAAAAAGTTCCAGTGCCATTTTTTATGTTGTAAGCTTCCCAGCGTCATTTGCTGAGGATGGGCAGCTAGAGAAATCAAGCAAACAAATAAATACATCTTACCACAAAATGTTTTGACCAGTGCTATACTTCTATGTTTGCTAATAGTCATACAATTATTTTCTTCTATTGTATATGTATATATCAGAATCAGAACTTCAATTCAAATTATATTATTTTTGTATAATATTTGTAAGTGTTAAAGCAGTTTTCCAAGTTTGTTGTGTTGTGTTTTCATTTATTTTAGCTCACTTAGAGTTTGAGAAGACTTTCTCTAAGCTGGTGCCCTTCAGATATGTTTGTATTCAGACTTCCAGAACTTCAGAAGCTGTAGTTCCATCGAATAGAATAGAATAGAATAGAATAGAATAGAATAGAATAGAATAGAATAGAATAGAATAGAATAGAATAGAATAGAATAGAATAGAATAGAGCTGGAAGGGACCTTGGAAGTCTTCTAATCCAGCTCCCTGATCAAGCGGAAGAACCTATACCATTTCAGACAAGTGACTGTCCAGTCTCTTCTTAAAAACCTCCAGTGATGGAATGCCCACGATTTCTGAAGGCAAGCTGTTCCACTGGTTAATTGTCCTCACTGTTAGGAAGTTTCTCCTTAATTCCAGGTTGCTTCTCTCTTTGGTCAGTTTCCAACCATTGTTTTTTGTCTTGCCCTCTGGTACTTTGGAGAATAAGTTGATCCACTCTTCTCAACATCTTTTTTGTGTTATGGTGACCAAAATTGGCTGCAGTATTCCAGGTGTGGTCTTACTAGGGTTTTATAAAGTGGTACTAATACTTCATGTGATCTTGATTCTATGCCTCTGTTTATACAACCAAGGATTGTATTAGCTTTTTGGCTGCTGCTGCACACTGCTGGCTCATAGTCAAATGATTGTCCACTAGGACTCCAAAGTCCCTCTCACAGTTGCTGTTTTTGAGCCAGGTTTCGCCTAATCTGTATTTAAAGCTTTGATTTTTTTTCCTGCCTAAATGTAAAACTTTGGTTTTCTCCACATTAAAACTCTTTTTGTTGGATAGGGCCCATTGTTCAAGTTTGTCAAGATCTTTTTGGATCCTGAGCTTGTCTTCTGGGGTGTTGGCTATTCCTGCCAGTTTAGTGTCATCTGCAAATTTTATGAGTTCCCCTTCTATTCCTCATCTAAGTCATTAATGAAGAGTACTGGGCCTAAGACAGAGCTTATCTCATCTGGAAGGCACCAGGTTGGGGAAGGTTGCCTTCAACATTTGTTCCTTTCTTCCTATTGAGAAGGTTGAGTCATTGACTTTTGTTGGCCTTACTCTCAGAAACGTGTATAAAAAAATTAAACTTCTTTCTGTAGTACACCCCTTATCTCACCTCAACAATGTTCTGGTCAGCTATGCTAATATATCTTCTATGTTTTTTAAAAAACTTTCTAATCGATAAATTGCACTCCAGTAATAATCAGCTTACCAGGTTACTCATATCCTTTCTGACTGCCAACTATATGCTTCAGCCATAGAAAAGCATTTAAAGTTGCTAACTGACACAATAGCCCATTGGGACCCCATCAAAAAGCTTATCTTACTTACCCCAAATACATAGGCAGTAAGAAAGACTGCCATATTTATAGCTAAAGCCATTCAACTGAGAGTTATCTATTTAGATCAGATTGTGATCAGCTTACTAAGGGATGATCTTACCTGACTATTTAACAGAATATTTTTATATCACAACACACCATATTGTTTTATCATTTTATATGATACGTTCATTAGACTAATCAATAAAACTGCTATAAAATACTGATAATGCTAGGCATCCTCTCCTCTCCTCCCACAGGGATCTACACATTTCTTTCTAGCACCTTAAAATCCCTGGAGGAAAAAGAACATATCCATCGTGTTCTGGATAAGATTACTGACACTTTGATGCATTTAATGGCCAAATCCGGCCTTTCCCAGCAGCAGCAACACAGGCGCCTGGCTCAGCTCCTCCTCATCCTTTCTCACATCAGGCACATGAGGTGAGTAGTAGTTACCCAGCAGGCTTTAACACATGGCAGCTTAGTGCTATCTTCTGTGTAAAAGAGACCCCTTCCTGAAATGTTCTATCCTGGTTAAACTTGAGGGGATGATAAGACTCATAGAAAAATTGAAAGTCCAAGGTAAAGTTTGTCAATATCTAAAATCCCTTGAGAACAGCTAGAATTTAAACTTCAGCATTCATTTGTGCATCATATGGCAAAGGGAGGTGTATCAGATGATGTCCTCAATATGTACTTCGGCTTGACCTCAATTACTTGGGAATATAATCATAAATGTGCTAATTTTATTATGAAAGCCAAATGTATCTCATGTTAGACTTCTGTGATTCCATTCTTTTGTTTGTTATATGTTTTCAATTTTTCATTCATTCCAGTGGAGATCCATCCATTATACAGTGCCCAAGTATTTTCAAATGCACTGTAAAGATCAAATGGGATTAGAAAATTCTGTGTTTGTTTTAAAAAGTGCTATAGTACCATTGTTCTTAAAATGAGGTACTAACCTGAGGGTTGCTGATTACTCCTCAGGCCTGATGCCGTCTCTCTGGAGTACTATGTCCCTCTGCCAAAATTTGTACAGTTCCCACCCCAATGAATTCCAAAAGTCTTTGAATTCCTGATATTCTCCCAAGTCTTGGGTAGAGTGTGGGTTGAGCCACTGTTGCATGTTTTGTTTTGTATTTTTTTCCTGGATGTGCATGATTCTTTTTCTTTCTTTAAACTCTAAGCTACCCAGAGTAATCTGGAATTGTGTCAGCTCTAAATTTAATTAATTAAATGAATAAATTCTCCATGGTCACCTTGCTATTTTCCAGTACAATCAGAATCTAGGTTTTATTGCTCCCTTAAGGCTATTAATCAATATATTTGAACATACTTTGCATCATTCACCCTAACCCTAACCCCAAGCAATAGTAGAGGCAAAGTTGGACTTTCTTGGGATAATTGTAATTAATTTTATTTTTATGTGAACCTCTAGCAATAAAGGGATGGAGCACCTCTATAACATGAAGTGCAAGAATGTGGTCCCACTTTATGATTTATTGCTGGAAATGCTGGATGCTCACCGTCTGCATGCTCCTGCAGCTAGGAGCACACCCCACAATGAAGAGGAACTTTCAGACCAGCTGGTCGTGGCACCTGCTTCAATGCATTCCTTACCACCTTGCTATGTGAACAAACAGGAAGATGAACCTGTGCAAGAAGCAATCTGAATTCAGATTACAAACAGCCTACAGGATTCTGAGCATCCCATCAGAAAACGTCGGGCTTAGATGAACTGGTACCATGTCTAAGCACTCCAATACTCAGCAACCAGTGATTCCCAAAACATTGATGGTCAACTTCATTCATAGCAAAACATTTATAATTTTGAATATAATATGTGGTTTAATTAAAAAACACATGTTTGTGTTAGCAAAACACAAGCCTGGGGATTCCGGTACTTTGTTTGCTGGTATCATATAGAGAAGTTGGATGATCTTTCTTTTTTAGATCAATTGGCAAAAATCCCAGCTGAGTTGAGTAGGTGATGTTTACATGTAACGTTTATTGGCTGTTTGGTGGATACAAGAAGAGTACACCACAAAAATACAATATACAAAGCAATGGTGGTTAAGGACAAAGATTCTGTTAGACTCCCATTTTCAATTTTTTTTAAGAGAAAGGAGAAGGGAAAATATGAATTTAAGGTTTCCCTGTTGGGATTCAATGATATACACAACGTACTAATAGATTAATCTACCCTTTCAAACTTCATAGAGTTCCAGTTTATTTCAGCAAGAAAAGCCCCTCAATTAACTTGTTAAAATAACTGTGAGATGCTAAACTCCTTTAGTATTCTCAAGGGGGATGACTCACCCCTACAGAGTTTACCATAGTAAAGATAAGCAGGTGAATTGAAAATTCATATTAGCATTTTTTTAAAACTGACATAATTTTGATGCATTGTTGGCCTGCTAAATTTACAATGAAGGTCCAAACGTAACAGATTTCTCCCCATATCTGTCTGAGGGAGAACTACTGTGCTGACCGTTAGAGTAGCTAATAGACTGTAGCCCAATTAAAATATGAAATTATATCAATTAATTGTGAATCACCTAAGGACCCCTGGCTGAAAATATAATTGATCAGTTGTACATATTACACCATCTATTTCATACCTTAACTGACAGTTCACATATTAATTGTGAAAACCCGACTGATCCTATGAAAAATTAAGTTCCTTGTTGCCAACCTCCAGGAATGGGATGGTCTGTCCCTTCTACTCGCTTGAGGTAACTTTGTGGGAAAGCTGCACCTGCACATATTTAGGTGGTACCTGAAATTGACTTTTTAGAAAATTCCAGCTCTATTTAATACAATCAGTGCTCCACAGTAGGAAAATCATCTGTTTCCTTGAGCAAGGCCCTGGATGCATGTAATACTCTCTAATATCTGCCAAAGCAACAGAGCTTCATGTTGAGTCACAACTAGTGGCAAGAGAGCAATGAAGAAAGGACAAGAAAGTTTTGCACTGAAGCTGTCCTTTGGGTTCTGCACATATTGACTCCTTCCAAAGCAAGGACTAGGCAGATCAAAATCTACAGATGATCAACCACTTTTATTAAAATCTATTCCCTTCTGTATGCCTAAATGTTGTGACTCTCCTCTTGTTTTTACAGTGTTCTCGCCAACACTTCTAGCCCAAGCTTCGTTGCTAGTGGCCTTGCTTTTTATTAATACCATAAAGTACCTATTTTTTAAAAGATAAAAAGAACAAAAATCAATGGTCCTGCTTTGACATTTCCCCAAAGCCACTGGGGATACGAAGTGCCTTGGCAAAAATGGATACAGTTGTATGCTCAAATGCCCACACTGTATATATGCTGTGTATACAGTATATAACAACAAAAAGAGTTCTTGTAGGACCATAATTAAAGAAAGCAAATTTTAGTCATTTGTACCCAGGTGTTAATGAAAATCTAGATATTTTTAACTGGGAGTTAGCCCCATAGAATGCGGTTGGACATCCTTCTGAATAGACAAGCATAGGATCAGGCTACAAGTATTTATATTTTTATAAGGGAAAACACTTTTGCTATTTTTCTACTGTTTCCTTAAGGGTAGAAAAGTTTCATTGTATTTGTTGCTTTGGCTGGGTTTTTTTTTTTTTTTTTCATTCACTTCTGCTGGATTGGAACTTCCATCTTAGACATACAAAGAATGCTTGGAAGCTTTCCTCCCCATCCAAGTGAATGGTGAACTTTTCAAGTACGAGATCGTAATAGATCCATTGTCCATTGCCAATTGGGTAGAATTCTGAATAGATATCGATACTCAGTTTCTGTCTATCTTCACACAGTGCAAAAGATTAAAGCTGGTCTCAGTCTATTTAAATTATGTACACTACATCCATTTTCCTAACAGAAACCATGATTTTGCCTTGAGAAATTAACAGGTAAAAGGGATCCAAGTAAGGAAGCCAGAGATGGCAAGGGATGGGAATAGGCTCTTAGCATGGGAAGGTATGATGTTTTTAGCTTTAATGCCAGCATACCTGGGACAGGTCCGACTTGGGAATTGAAATCGCTTTTTGTTAAATGTGTGAAACTTAAGAAAAATATCTAGTTGTCATTATTGTTAGTTTGCTAGAAACATTGTATTATCCTTATTGCTATTGTTTGTTGAAAGCACCTTACTGAATGCAGTGTGTGTTTTTCTGTGCATATAATACACACATGCAAAGCTCACCTATCAGACAACTGAATGTAGCTCTTCTATATAATCAATCAACAGGTTAAAATACAACAAAATCACAGAAAAAAACCTTTTCAGCTATCTTCTCTCATATGCAATCATGTGTGCCTAAGGCTTAGCGATTGTTAAAAATCATTACTGCATATCAAATTTTATATTCCTGAGAGACAAGACAGTTTTCACTTGGTCTAGGAGTAAACACACAAAAAAAACTTGTCCTTCAACAAAGGACTTTCATGGCAGCTAATTCTGCTTTTTGTCCACATCCAAAGGACATTGCCTCAAATGGGTTCCTAATAATATGCAAGGATGGCTTTGTAACCCATCCTCTGAAGTTCGATTTTGAAACAGCAAACCAAACTACCCTTTAAATGTGGTACATGTTGCTATTTATCAACTCATTATGCTACAACTAATGAATTGCTACATCTAATTTTTTGTTTAGAGTAGGGATGTCCAAAGTTTGGTAACCTTATGACCTGGGGACCTCAACTCCCAGCATGGCTGGCTGGGGAATTCTGGGATTTGAAGTCCACAAGTCTTCAAAGTTGGACACCTCTGATTTAGAGCCTCAAAGAAGAAAAGAGGGAGCTGTAAATTTTTATTTAGGCTTTTATAAGGGTGATTTTTCTGTGTGCAAAACCTTTCTTCAAATCTGAATGTCATTGTGGATTCTAGCTCAGGTCGATTTCCTGTAAACCATCTCCATGGCCTCCAGTCCTCCTCTTTTGGGGTGCTGTAGCCCCTTTGATCAAGTTCCCATTACTCTCAGCACATTTATAAATAGATGGATCACTGAAGAGGCTGAGTTGAAGGATTGTGCCCTTCAGTGAAATGGCAACAGCCATTCTGCTTTTCCAGCCACATATGAATCTGTGATTTTGGGGGCTATTGAGAATTCTTCATAGGCATTAGCCTTCTTCACCATGAAAGAATCTCAGTGAGAGCCAAATGGAGGAAGAACACAAATTAACAGCTGCAATCCCATGGCTGTAGAAAGCACAGGATTCTGCTGCTCTTTAAAGGGACTTGAATCTCTTGAAAGCCCTTGAGACAAGATTGCCCTATATTTTGTGCAAATAAGGCAGTCCCTCCCATGGTTGTCCTCTTAAGCTCCAGCTAAGAAATATTCTCCTTTTGTGATGTTTTGATATTCAGGAGAAAGATGGACACAAATTAGGCTCCGAAGCAGATATAAGATCACCAATTGTCTGGCAAAAGAAGGACATGTCCTCCTTTTTGCCTTCAGGTTTTCTGCCTGGCAAGCATAGCCTTAAAAATCAAATATTAGCTGGCTTTTTGAGTATCTACAAGCTATCACTTCCTGAGCAACTTTTCTCCAGAGTGGAGCACCGTTAATGAGTGCTAACAGCAAGTTAACAAGCTCCACACTGTGACCTTGATTAATACTCTCCTGCTGGCTTGGCTGCTATCTGAAACTGACAAGACCTTAATCAGTTATATGCCTCTAGCATACTGTGCAATTGAAAAACGAGTCTTTCTGATGTTGGAAAAGTATTTTCATATACTTGTTCATGCAGGTTTACATTTTGGGGCCTTTTCTCCCTGTAATTTTTGTAACAGATGCCATGAAAGTGAAACAATTAGTGTGTCATCCTTTGTCCTCTTTTGTCCTCATTCAGCTATCTGGTAACCTGATACAACAAAGCCTCTGCTTCTCTATGAAAAGTTTTGCAATCATTGTGAGGGGTCATTGTGAGACCCAGTTTCTGATATCAGTCATGTTGCTATGATCTCAGAAGGTGGACACCACCAAATTGCCATATCCTTCCTGCCCTAAAAATCAGGATGATTGATTCAGCACCACTGAAAATCAGCTAGGCCTTTATCATATATATCACAGCCTTATTAATCACCCTGAAATGAAATGTGCATTCCCATTTGCATCAAACAATGCATCCACCTGGTTTAAAATTCACCTAAATAAGCATTGCAGACTGTGTCTTCATTCACACAGTGATTCTGTGCGCAACTCTTGCTGGTATTGGTGCTAGTGTTTGCCATATTTTTGCTGTGAATCTGAGCCTTCATTTTATACACATGTTCTTAATGCTATTGCTTTTAAGACCTAAGCTAGAAGCCAAATGTTCCGGCAGTGGACTTTTGGATCTCAAAGTTATATATATATTTTTTGCAGAATCAGTCAAATGAATTAATTGTTCTGCCTTGCAAGCTCGCTCTTCTGAAAGTTCTTTTCAAACGCACTGTGGCTTTGTAATGGGATTCTTCAGATCTGAAATGAGCACTAATCAAGATCTGGACTTTATGCAGTGCTTTTAAGCTATCAGCCTAATTTTGTTGAAGTATAATTGTCATATAAACCTCGGGAGTACCAAAAATACTTTTGATGCTCAAAACCCCCTTTTCCTGTCATTGGTGCATTCTCTCATTTTAATTCACATTTCTGGATGTATTTCGGTCTTGAATGATGTTCTGTAAACAATTATTGCCTTTTGAAGGACTTTACAATTTTGCACTGTCCTGGAAAGATTTTTGTAATGAACCTAACTGTTTTGCATTCAAATGTGCCTGAATTTATATGCTGCCATGCTGCCAATCTGTCTTTAGTAGGAATGTTATTCTGCAATGCACCTTTTGGAACAAAGCCTTTTGCCCCTCAGTCTTGAAGTGCCCGCTGGATTATGATAAACTGTCAGTAGTGAAAAGATGCTAGTTAGAAAATAAACCCAATAGGTTACTTTATGCCACATTATTGTACTTTTTTTTTTTTTAAAAAAAATGAAGCTTTGTGCACTACATTACCCTTTCATTGTAAAGTTTTCCCTTTATTATGAGGCTCATGTGCCATAATGTATTTGTTGAATTATTCTGCTCTTTTGCTAAAGCACATAATAGCATAATTGGTGTATCTGTTTTGTTAGAGTTGCTTTGTTAAATGAAAAAAAGGGTTAATCCTTTTTTGTTGTTTCTTTTTTGCACATTTGAAAGAATGTTACAAACAGCTTTTTAAAAAAATCAGCAGGATACCTGATCTGTCAAGATTTTCTCAGCTTTGATGTTGAAATAAAAAAGTGAATTACACCACTGGAATATGTCAACAAATTTCTTAAATTTTTCTCGGGGTGGGGTGGGGTTAAATTACGATCAATTAACACTTACATTTGTATCATTTAGCTGTAGTTTGTATTTGTGTCTGTTTGAATCTAAGGTAATGTTATGAAATGTTTAATGATATGAAGAAAAAGGCAGGAATAATTGAAACAGAATTAGGGAAAATTCCAATGGTTGTAAAATGTAAATGAAGAGGGGCAAAAAAAAAAGTCTTCAAATTTATCCTCTTAAAGCAGATTTGTTAAATATACAACCTTGGCCTGGTTTCAGTCAAAAAAATCTAATCACCCTCTTTTTACTCACATCAAGCTCATGCTGCTCATCCTTCATCTGTCCCTTACTCCATCAATTACTTGCAAAAACAAGTCTGTAATCAAAGATTTAGAAACATAATTCAGGATTGGAGGTCTGTATGAGTTCCGATAGGTACCAGCATCAAAGGGAGTTTCTCCTTTTTGCTCAGAAGTTGAGATTTACATTGAATTAACCGATGTCATGTTAAAGTGAGGCCTATCCCAATTTTAACCTTTGTGCATGCAGGCTTAAAATGTGTTGGTAATGTTGAGAGGTCAACATTATGCCCGAAGGGATTGAATTTAGGGTATCTATAATATTGATCCCTGATGGTTCTGTTATAGATGAACATGCTTTCCAAATCAGTTAATTAGGAAGAGCATACAATCTTTTCATAGCTTTACTTGGACTATTTCAAAGGGATCAGAGGCACCTTTCATAGTAGAAAACTGCTTTTAAAGATGGGTTTTTTTTTTCATTAATGCTACATCTGGGACAGGAAAAAAATGGTAAGAAGAAAACAAATCCAGGTGTAGGCTAAATATTACTATTAGTGATGCATTTATTGCTTGTCTTACAGCAACCCAGCCACACATGCAGCAATATTTTGTTCTCAGATGCTATACCAACACAGTCATTAGTAAATTCCAGATGAAAGATCAGTTAATAAAAGGGGGGCATTGTAGGAGAGAAATCGCAGTAAGGAGATGAGAAAAATTGGGGGGAAAATTAATTAATTTATACTGAAGCTATGAACAAATAAATTTAATACATACATTAAACAAATTAACCGGGGCCTGGGAGGATATGATTGCATTGCATATACTTCCTGATTAACGGGATGCAGGCAACTAACTGTAGCTTGGCTTGCAGATAGTCTACAGCAGTGATGGTGAACCTATGGCATGGGTGACAGAGGCGGCACTCAGAGCACTCTCTGTGGGCATGTGCACCATCGCCCCAGTCCTAGGCCTTCAGCTGGGTTTTATAAAATCTTTTCGCTTTAGGCCTCCGCCGCTGTGTACAAAAAGAAAAGGTTCAATCAGTCAATTTCAACTTCTCACGGGGAAAAAAAGATCTTGCAAGGTTGGAATTGATTGATTGAACTTTTTAGTCCCACCCAGTCTGCTGTTACCACCGTAGCCACACCCACCCAATGGGCCACACCCACCCAATGGGCCACACCCACCCAGCAACCAATGATGCATAAGTGGGTTTTGGGTTGCAGTTTGGGCACTCGGTCTCTAAAAGGTTTGCCATCACTGGTCTACAGTTCAACCATCCTAGCTTACATAAAATAACATGATCATGTTTGGGGGAAAAATGGACTTAACTTGCACTTGGCAAACACTGACCATATGTGTCAATAATGACCAGTACTATCTCATTACCATTAGGCCAGACTGCTAAATGTGACTTGGCTAAGAAAAAAAACTAGTAACCTGGTTTAATTTTGTTCAGTCTTACTAAAATGTTTAGTTTTAGCATTACTTGTTTCAACTGATGCATCATGCTTTGAAAGGTGGCTTTGGACACTTTTTGGTTAATGTGCCATTCTTTTCCAGACACCGGCAAATTTGCAACTTTCACAGGTAAGCGATTGACAAGACTCAACAAAAGTTTTAGCTCTCTGAAACTAATTACCACCCAAAGGGTACACTTTCTGTGGCCCTTCAGACCTCGATCAGCTCCACTTCAATATGATAGCCTGCTGGCATGAATAAAGAGGACTGTTCAGGTGACAGGCGCATGATGTGGGAATGTTAGAAATTAGCAGGCTACAGGCATGTTACTTAGATTATTTTGTCAAGGCAGATTGCAGTCACAAACCCTCAGCAAACGGAAGGTTATGTCAATTCACACCATTGAAAAAGTTATGTCAGTTCACACAATTGATCATTAAACCCAGTTGAAATAAGCATTGGAGTTCAATTGGTCCCTTGGGTAAGGTTCCTACATTCTGAGCTGCTTTCCAATATGGAAAACAAACTGTAGTGCAGTTTGGATTCTGCAGTTAGCGAAGCAGACTGTGAGAAGGGCCTGTTTATTCAAAACCAAGGTTGTTGTGCATCATTTCTCGCTTTCTTGGGCAGAGCAGACAAAAATGCAAAGGATTCTGAGGCAAGGCATAATTTTGGTTGCAATGATGCATAGAACTGGGCTGCCTTAATGAAAGAAATCTAGCCAGTATGAACAACAATTATATTCAATGCAGTACCATCACCACCCCTACCTCCTCCTCATCATCACCGTCTTCATGAATGCTTCAACTTTACCCATGCTCAGGAAGTGAAGCAATTATTAAGGTAATGGTTTGTGGCAAATCATCTGCACACCTGTGTCTTGCTCAGCAATGGACATGGAATTATGGGAAATTTTGTTCAAGTCATTTCTGAGAGAATGGCAATCTAGTGGAATTAGTTTGTAATTGTAGTAGGAAGAAGTATATGAACACATGCCTAAATTCACACACGAAAAAAAAAAAGACTACTTGGAGAAAAATCAGAAAAGAGAATGGCCATACTTCAATTCCAGAGGTTCACGGGGGTTGAATCCATATACAATCTCTGCACCTTTGCACAACCTACTGGTCCCCCAAAAGCTAATTGTACCCCAACACCCAACAACATGAGTACTGCTGCCCATATTTATATTCTCTTCTTGGAAATGGGTAGGCGATGTGACATCATGATCCATGTGGTTTAGACTAGTTTTCTGTCACTCTGATTGGCTAATCAGATTTTGAAGGTATACCTGATCCTCTTTCATGGGTAGAAAGAACCTGGAATCTTATTCAATCCTCCAAGCAATGCAGACTTTACGACTTACTACCTTTTCTTTTCAGAATAAACCAATACACAGGAAATGCCTTTTGTCTCCCTAAACTAGACTAAGAAAGGCTTTCTAGCAGTTGCCCATTACTGTTTGGTATTTCATACCTTACAGGTTATTGTCTGTGGATATGTCCCATATTAGGACAATCATTTCCCTATTTCGTTAAATTTCATCTCTCACTGTGCTACATATTGTTAACCCTAGACAGGGAGACTTTGGCCCTCCAACATTCACAAATTAACTGCTCCCAGCATCTCTCTCCATCATCCCTATTAGCTGGAGCTGCTGCAGAGACTTCTCATTCGGCAATCTGAGGAAGGCCACCTCTTCCATTTCCCCAAATCAACAGCTCATCCCATCTGGAATCTATCATTTCTGAATATTGATGTTAACAGGACAAACATAGTGGTGTTAACATCTTGGTTCTTCAAATAAAATACATTAAAATAACACAGAGCACTTTGAGTTTTCCTTTAAGTTGTTTCTTCCTACTCTGATGAAGAGCCATTTCATAAAATTCTGATTTTTATCTGGAGTTTGCAATGTGCAGCAAAGCTTGGCTTCTTCCAATGTTGCGTTTATTTATCTCTTTGAAGCAACTTTATATTTGGCAATATAAATAGATGGCTTTCATTACGTTGTCATCTACTTTTTAGCATTGTATATAAATCACTTAGCTGTGATTAAGATCAAGAATCCTTTCTTCAAGCAACATATTAATACTACTGTTGAGTCATCATCTCTGATACTTCCAAACTCCACATCAGCTTTGGAACTACCAGTATATAACTTGGGACCCATTCTCCTCCTCTTCCTTCTTCTTCTTCTTCTTCTTCTTCTTCTTCTTCTTCTTCTTCTTCTTCTTCTTCTTCTTCTTCTTCTTCTTCTTCTTCTTCTTCTTCTTCTTCTTCTTCTTCTTCTTCTTCTTCTTCTTCTTCTTCTTCTTCTTCTTCTTCTTCTTCTTCTTCTTCTTCTTCTTCTTCTTCTTCTGCCTCCTTCTTCTCCTCCTCCTCCTCCTCCTCCTCCTCCTCTCTCCTCCTCCTCCTCCTCCTCCTTCTTCTTCTCCTCCTCCTCCTCCTTCTCCTTCTCCTCCTCCTCCTCCTTCTCCTCTTCCTCTCCACCCACCCACCCACTCTCCCTCCTCCTCCTCCTCCTCCTCCTCCTTTTTCCTCTTTCCTCTTTTTGGCAGTTTTCTGGGTGGCTGGATGCAAAGGCTTGTTCTGTTTGTAGCAGATTAATATTTTCTCTTTGCCTTTTCATTTTTTAAATAGTAGGGACTGCACTTCTAAGCCAGTGGGGTAGGGAGACTAGTTTCGGGTCTGGTTGTAGCTCCCACTGGGTAGGGTTTCCCATAAGTTGGAAGCTTGTGAAAAATGTTCCACACTCATTTATGTTTTTGTAGTTGGGACAAAAGGCAATGTAAAACAGAGTGAGTTAAGGGCCCCATTTTCTGGCTATATTAACATCTATGGCGATAGTTTTACTTAGTAATCCTATATATTTATTTTGTATTGTTTTAATTGTTTTAACTTTTTATGATGTACATCACCCAGAGTTGAGATGAGTGGTTATAGAAATTAAATCAAATAATTAAAAATGGAGACATTCAGAAACTGGAGGGGATAAAAATGCAATCAACAAATAAATAGATTAAAATAATTGCCATGCAGGACTCTACCGAATGCCTTGGGACAGATGCTGTATGTCCATATTCTGTCTGTTGAATCAGACCATGTTGTTACATCTGAGCATGGCTAAGAATGTTAAAAAAAACTTCTTAGCAAATAACAGAAGCCTCCTTCTTAAGCTAGCCTTCTATTGCATGCTTTGGTTGTTTACGGCAGAAATAA